GCTTCAACACCCACAGCAAAGAACAAATGCAGTCAAGGTATAAAATCAAGTTTAAATGTATCAAAATTAATTTGGCGAGAGAAAATTTACCTAAAATGGGTTAAAATCTTTACCTGTCCCTCTCCCTTAGTACCCCCCCTCCCCTTGCTAGAGCTAAAAATCAACATACCCCAAGGCTACTACCAAGTTAGAACCCCCTCGACACTCTAATAATAATACCATAATTAAAACTCAAATTTCCACTCTGTCACACTTATTCTAAGGAAATTTTCACTTTCTGAATTCTGACTGCTATGATAACATTTTACAGCAGCTGTTTGTTTATCAAGGAACTGCGGAGGACAAAAGAATCAGTACATTACAAAGGCACTGTTTTGTGTGTGTGCATTGTAATGCGTATTGTCCAACTAATTTGACTGTTCTTGTAATAACACATTGATTAACTCAGATCAAACCACACATGGTTTATCTCACTTATAATCTAAACTCTAAAATTCTTATTGATATAATAACCCTTTATGTTATCTTACCTTTGTATTATGAAATGGCTCGATTCCTGCTCTATGCAAACATTTGTACAGCCACTTTTCATATTACTTGTAATATTATTTAATTTCTACTAAAACATTTTCAAAAAATCACATACATTCATAATAATCATAATGAAATAATTAGGTATCACACAGAATATCTCGTAAAAATAGATTGATTTCTGATACTTAAAAAACAGCTGAAGTTGCTTTTTCCTTTTTTTTTTTTCTTAAAATCAATTTCAACTGATAAGTCTCATCCTTAGATATGTTAGTCTCACCTCATAAAAATAAACTTCATTAAAAACTTGCTTTAATAATTTCTTTACTTAAAAATATTAAATTTCTTTCATTCAATACCACATCTTTCCTGTCCTCCCAAATATAATAATTAATATAATAATAAATCACCTCTGTTACAACAGAAACACATCAATTAAAAAAAAAAAAAAAACTACAAGATGATGTTTTTTCATTTATGAACAGGTTAATTCTAAGTCAGTAAGTGCAATAATTGAACCAATCAGTCAATGAATTTCTTGCAATGCCAGCTGTGCATTCATTAGCCAGAAATAAGGTGAAAATCACCCTGGGCAAAACAGGTTACCACATCTCAACAAACCAATATCGTTGTACTGGGGCCAAATATAGATATACTGCACCAAAAATACCTGAAGTGTTAAGTAACTTTATAAAATGTACAGATCCTAGGTGTGATACATATCACAAATACCTGCAGGCTAAAAAGTGTGACAATTCTTCTAAAGAACCTGATGCCTACTGGTAACATAACAATCTACAAGAAGCAATTCATCAGTCCCAAACCCTGAAAACCAAGCAGGAGGTCTCCTTGACTGCTTTATTTTGTTACATCATCATTTTAAATAGATATATTATAAATGATATTCAAACAACTTCCTTTTACTCACTCTTTTACATTATCACATTTTCACATTAACGTGTTAAATCAAGAATAAGCCAAAAGGTTCCCTTTACTTGGTTCTGCAGGCATACATGCCTTGGACTGATGTAATGCCTTGGGGAAGCAGTAGACTTTTTAACAGCAGACAAAAATTTCAAGAAAATGGCATAGGTGGTAATATCAGTATGATATTAAAAAAAAGATTTATCACAGATTTGGAAAATGTCTGTTTGTTTCCTTTGCACTTTGAGCACAAGATACAGAACATGGGAAAAGATGAATTTAAGACACACTTGAACCTCTCTAGTTACTCTTTGTTTTAATGCATGTCACTACTAGTGAGGAATACATGTAAGACACTATATAATCCAAGAGTTTAGAGGTTTTTTTTTTTAACATTTCACATTTTTTAAATTATACAACCCTACCTCACAATAAATAAATAAATAAATAAATAAATAAATAAATAAATAAATAATTCTTGTTAGTCACTTTTACCTGTCCTACTAAATGACCTTAGTTTGAGTACTTTTTTTACAACAGAGACTAATGATAAAAATATATATCATCATGGACATAATAAGCAGAAGGACATGAAACGCTGAGCTAGATCAAAGGATAATCGGCTTAACGTGAGCTCTTCGCGAAACCATGTGCGTTCGGATCACGTGACCTCCCGTACAGGTAGCGAGCATATTGCAGTTGTCGATGACTTTTTTTGTCATGTGGGCAGGTAGTTCGCAATAACGTGAGTCAATCCTTCGGGTGAATGGGACAATAAACTTATAGAGATTAAGTATAAGTACAATTTGTTCTGTCATTTTGGAAATTATGTGAGAATTTGATATGTTTGTTCATGGAGGAATTCAAAATGCCCTATGTGGTTAAGGCAATCTTGTTTGTTGCTGTAAAATGAGCATTCAAAATTGTACAACTGTAGTGTAGTATGCTTGTTTTCAGCTATGATCCGATTGGAAAATATTTCTAGTGTCAAACTTTTCTCTCTATGTGAGAAATTAGCCCGGGACGCGGCAATAATGAAACCTTCAATCGTGTCTTGAATTAAAATGACGCAATTCCTCTCCGATTTATTCAACTCGCTGACATCATTTTGGGTCTGGTATTTTTTACGTACCGTTTAGATAAAAGTGGCATTTACACTGCTGTGTACTATATGTATAGGTTTATGTTACTTGCTCATGTGAGCCCGAATTATATAATGATAATTAATATTTTTAACTTTCAATATGGGCTCTCGTTGCAATAGGGCAACACACACGCATTCTTGACGCACAAAAACGCACCTGGGGGCCTTTTAATGTTCTTTTATCAAAGTTGACATTAACACTGCTCTAAAGTATATATAATTTTACACATTACCGGCTATAGTCTGCTCCAGTCTGAGAATGATAATTATTATTTTTTAACTTTCAATATGGACTCTCATTGCAATACGGCACCACACACACATTCGTTACGCACAAAAACGCACCTGTGGGCCTTTTAATATTCTTTTATCAAAGTTGACATTAACACTGGTCTGAAGTATATATATATTTACACATTACCGGCGATGGTCTGCTCCAGTTTGAGAATGATAATTAATGATTTTTCATTTTTAAATTGGAGTCCCTAAACAGCATAGAGACGATGGACAAGCACCCTCACTGGTCTTGTAATTAAAGTATAAATGTGGACATGTACACATGCAAACTTCATGATAATATTTACTTGGGTAATGGTCATAAAAGTGGATCGCGATCACATTTGTGATTAAAGTCTCACCTCTGTAATTGGCTTGCTACATTGCATTATCTTGTTATCAGATGCATTTGGATGGCACCTAGCTGGCTTTATTAGTCAACATGCTTTTAAACAAGTTATATATCAGCTCGACATATACCTATCAATACAATCTTGGGAACGATAACAAGTATAGACAAAGGCCAGAGCCCGTTTTAATGAGGTAACAACAGAAGATACTGAAAACCCGAAACAAATTTCCACGTGTTGGCGCAAGTCTGTGTGATCACAACTGCAAGATTGCGGCAATGCTGCATCATAGCAACCACGAGGGACTGCGAGAAATTGCGTTATCAATGCAGAGAAACAATAGAAATGCATTGAAGCAGAGCGCGCGCTACCTTGATAATAAGCTGTTCAGACGCCCGTGGAGCTATCAAAACAGATTATTTGAGACAATAGGCGAATGTTTACCCGAACGCACATAGCTTCAAAGGAAGATGCCGCGTTTCACGTCCTTCTCTAATTAGGTCCATGATATCATGCAATAAAATATATCAAGCCCGTAGCCAGCAAATTCAAAAGGGGGTTCTTTTTCAGAAAAAGTGGACTTTTTACAATGAAACTTATGTGTACCTAGATAAAATTTACCCAAAATGGACCTTTCCCTGACAAAAGGGGCGGTTCTTTCGAACCCCCCGAACCCCCCCTTGCTACGGGCCTGTATATAAATCATCCTTTAATGAAAGCTTTGTTTTTATTTTGATCGAAGCATTATGAAAATGTCAACAAAATGTTGCAGTAAGAGAAGAACACTTGTACTTTTACAGCGTAGTGTACCCACTTACGACTTGTTTACAAACCCTGTGACATTTTTCGTCACGCTACCTCTCAAAAACGAGCTGGATTACCCCCAATTCTTTTAAAAAACCTTTTTACTCACATGGTGAGTTGTTTTTGTTTTACAATTTTTATCAAACTCACCAGGCCAGGGTGCTTCTGAAATATGAGAGAGCCTCATTAAGTGAAATGAGTACCCACCTGCCACAGCCTCCTCCACCATGGGTACACCACCATCCACAGCATCCCCTGGAGCCGGCCACTCATGATACCAGTACATAGAGAAACCTGTCTGCACTCAAACAATCTGGTTGCAATATACACCAGCTGTGGTACAGAACTGTGATACAGATTAATATATACCAACTGCAGTAGTCACACCAGAGTACAGATATTACCATATACCATCTGTGGTACAGAACTGTGGTACAGAACTGTGGTACAGATTAATATATATACCAACAGCAGTAGTCACACCAGCTAGAGTACAGATATTACCATATACCATCTGTGGTACAGAACTGTGGTACAGATCGCCCAACTGTTGCACAGTTACACCATACTAGTGTGTGAATTATGGAGTCCAGCAATTTTTCACTTTGTGATTTGCATCATGAGTCCGCCATGACGTCTATGGCTTCATTTGCTCTGACAAAATTTCCCAAAACTGTAAAATGGTTCACAAATGTACACGTAATATTTAGTAATCCACAACATAGTGCCATAATTGCAGTATCACTCTCCATCTACACTGGGGAAACACAGATTAGTTTATGAAATAATCCAGTAGATTGATGCGCCTGTTAAGATGTACACAAAGTTGACTCACAAATGTATAGGCCTTTGGGTTTTCATCATCTGTTCATTACGTGTTAACTTGCTCTTGCTGGTTAATCACAAAAATACGTCTATTATCACAACTTGCAGCAGCTCTATCCTCTGAACAACCACAAAACCATGTCCCCCTATAAAACACAGAAGATATTTTGTTTTAGATGATACTCCAGTCCTCCCTCTATCTTCAGTTGATTGTGTGAATTCTTCCACAGCATACTTGTGGTGACATTGCTTGAGGACAGATTGCACTGTGACACTTTGAACAGCATGTCCTCTGTACAGCAAAAAGAAAAAAAAAATCCTTTTTATCATTCATTTGTATCATTCCTGTTAGAGCGTATTCAGAACAGCCAACTAAGGGCGCATTCCCATAGATTTTAGATCGATCTATCCCCATGGGGAGTCTCACTAGATTACTGTCAGATAATCCGGCTTAAATGTCCGTCCCGCCTACTTCAAGCTGTAAGGGGGTAATTAACTTCCGTGCACGGTCGGCTGACTGCAATTTAGCGTGAACCCCCAGGGAGTTAGGTCGATCTAGTAAGATCGATCTAAATTGCTGGAAATGCCCTCTAACAGTTCTGCGAATCAAATATGGCAACCCACAAAAAAAGTTTGCCACTTAATTTCGGATTAGACACTGAATAAATTCCCCGCAGGGATTATACAACAAGCATTCAAGTGGGTAGGCCACATCTGATCTGCGGATCTGTTTTTTTCTGCTGTTCTGAATGCGCTCTTCTACTATAACTACCCTAGCTGTCACTTCCATGGATGTTTTTTTAGATTTGGGTTTATCTGAGTATGAAGTATGAACCATTTTATGATCACTAAGTATCCCCTTAAAGACACTTGTTTAAATTGTAAAAATGGTTTTGTTGACTAATAAAATGTTTTTACTTTATGAAAAAAAATTTGGAATTTTTGAAAAAATCCGAAAGACATTTGATCAGAAACGTANCCCTTACACGCTTCCATAGAAACGGTTAAAGCAATGCAATTCCCCTTACCTCTGTTCTTTTTAAATGTAATAATGCTTCCCGTTGTTAAAGAAGTAACAGAATGCGGTTTTCACCCACTTTGAAACAATCTATGCCTCATCAAATTTAGAGTCACTTGCTAGTTAATTTCAAGAAATCTCATCTACCAGTGTCTCAAAATCCTAAATGTCTCCTGTGTAAACATTTGGTATTCCAGTGATTGAATTATGTATTTGACACTTTTTTCAAAATTTCAGGAAAAAAATCTTACCTGAATACAGTTTCAAGTACATGGAGATATCCACTTTATACAATTTTAAATTAGCTCCTAGCTTCAGCAGGAAAAGATTCTCCTGGTTTTGCTGAAAAAAGTTACTTCTTAACTTGGTGTTGGGTTGTTATTGATGTCCCAATGGTGTCAAAGCATACCACACTGCACAGCGCTGCACTTCAAATAACGGATGGATGGCTGCATCAGTTCTTATAAACAACAATGGCAGAAGACCAGAAAGTAACCATTCTCTGAATCAATCACTCATCCGGTTCAGTAATCAGCCTCTTTTTTAACTGATAAATTTTCCACTGGCCAAGCACAACTAATTGTTTCAAATAAATGATTTGCATGCATATTATTCCTCAGAAGTCTACATTCATCCATAAATTGTTAAAGACAGTCTCAGTGGGTTAGATTAATNTTTTCTAAAGAAAAAAAGGATTAATTGCAGTCCAACATGTTACACTGTGACGACACACATTATGCTGCCGTTGCAACAGAAGTTAGTCACCACCTTCATAAAAAGCAAACTTTTCATTCTGCCATCTGTTTTTTCCTATAGTAAGTGCATTTTGATTTAACTGCAAGCATAAGCAATTCAGCAATCAATCTTTTTAAAATGTTTTTTGTTAAATGCCATTAACATCTTAACAATGAAACCACTACTTAAATGTTGTTATTTCCAACAAGCAATAACATGCACTTTAAAATTGTGGTAAAACACTTCACTCTAAGCTGAATAGTTATATGCAAAGAAGTTTCTTTTATAAAATAACCAAAACTGATCATTTACTTTTGTTTTTGAATATGTATTGTTTGTCGCCTTACAATGGACACTTGCCACTACCTGTTATAAGAAGATTAAACAACTCTACTTAACAATTGCAGCTTGAAAGGCATTCTTTGATTTACTGTTATCATATATCCTTCAGTTTCACAAGCTGACTATTTCAACTGTTCTCTATTTCTGTTGATCAGTTTACTGTATTTCTTACAAACTGACACAACTTTTCTGACTTGTTTTATTGGAAAAGATATATTTCTCAAATCTATCCTGTTAATCTCTTTGCTAAGTTTATGGCTATTTCCATCAATTAAGTCTCAACAAAAACATTTTACTTCACCAAATTAAAAAAAAACAAACAAATTTCTCTTGTCTATCCTGTTCATTTCTCTCAAAAAGTTGGCCAATTCTCGTTCCCATTACAATACACTACAAAATTCAATACTTTCAGTTTTAATATGACTACCTAAACACGACTTCACCTTCAGATTATACTGAGTATGTCTTACATTGCATGTGCCCATCCTTAAATACAAACACGCTATCTCCTCCAGTCAGACCTTCAGTTCAGCATATCGTGACAAATTTTAAAACTTCATCAGCAGCTGTCAATATACATGACACACATAACATCTTCATGGCTTTGAATCTTCAAGCACATCTGTGAACTGATCAGTTCATTTCTTAACTTCAATCTTTTTAAATAAGCAGCTTCTTCCATGTACTTCCAGTAGACAGCGAGTAGGAAACGTAAAATCTGAATTTATTTGTAACCAAATCTGGTTTCCAATGGTTTTTAACCACCACCATGATAATAGATCCACACTATAAGCAGCTGACTAAGGTTTAATTTTCAAGATTCCTGCTTGGCTTCTCTCCTCAAGAACGTTTACCCTTTGCATTGTAAATCACAAAACAAATCAGTTTAGGTTACTTCACATTCTTACCCCTGTATTATACAGTGTAAGGATCATGAATAAGAATATTTGTTTTCATTGTAATGCCCGGCCACTTTCACTTCCTCAACAAATTTCACTGACACACTTCAGCTTGGTAGTAATACAATACAGTGGTATTCACATAAAGATAAAAGCAAACTGGTTTAGGTATATATGACATCATCTAAAAGTGTATCCATCTGTGATATAGCTGTCAGAGCCAAGTGGGACTTCACAACAGAAGCTGAACTGAGCTGGATAAACTGTTAAAAATGTTTAGAAGCATTAATCTATGCTTGGATTTTCAACTTGCATTTAAGACGATTACTGATTTGGACTCTCTGTTGTAATCCATGATAAAATGCTACACTAGCTGTTATCATTTTACATTATTTACCAAAAGAATTTAGTATACGACAAGTTTTTTTCATTGTTTTTATAAAATACTATCAACATTTCAGGAAACTTGTCCTAATGTACAGAAACAAATCACACTTTTAAGAAAATCACACTTTAAGAAATTAAATCAATGCTTGTAATCCCTGCTTAATACACACACGCACACATTTTCAGGGGCGGATCCAGAGATATAATCTGACAGTCTTCCAAATTATCTTTATTAATCTATCCTCCATTTTTGACCGTCTTCCAACGGAAAAAATTAGATACCCGTCAATGTAAACTTGAAAATCTGACCGTCTTCCAGAAGACCCAGAAGACGGCCTAAATCCGCCCCTGATTTTAAGAATAATGTATCCTGCACTCATACTACCCCATTTAACACTTCAACAAGTACTTTGGATTATTTACCTTAACCAAATAGAAATTTAAAATACTTGACTTTTTACAACCACTACTTTCATCTCATTTGACGTAAAAAAA